TGTTACTATTGTGACCCTCATGCCTCAGAAACTGTTTCGTAAGTTGCTTATGGTTTCTTTATAGATTTGTTGTATTTATTGTTACGGATTGGACCAGAGGGGCCGAGGTAATTTCTTGTAATAAAAGATAAAAGCTACAACGTGATGCCTATACTAATATAGTACCATTTTAGAGGCAAATGCAGCAGTGTTTTCTACATTTGGGGGTTTATTACAATTTATTTTTTCCGTTTATATAAGAATAAATAATGAACTATTTTATATGTAGGTCTTAAGATAGGGGGGTCCGCGAAGGCTGGGGTCCGGGTGGCAATCGACTATAGGCCAGTCCGACCCTGATTGTGTAGGTTGCTAAGTTACTAAGAACAAATTTACAAATATGCCTATATTACTTTTTAATAAAGATAATTTCTATAATACCCCACTTGAATTTTTATAAAACAACAGTTGAGAAACTTGAAAGACCAATAAACTCAATTTTCACTATTTTTCGATATAACAAACAGCGTATTGATATATTTTTTGGTATTGTCGCTCTCAATCTTTTTCTTGACGCGTGGAGACACGTGTAACATCTTCATAGGGTGGAAATTGAAAAGCTTTCCACATTTTCTCTTAGTTTTTTTCTGCTTTGCTATCGAACATGTTGCTGTCCTCTTAGATATCGTCTTTCCGGCAAACAATATTTTAAAATTTGTCATCGTATAAGACATATTGTTTGAGAGAATATGTTCGGTAAATAAATTCAATAGTTTTGTTATTAGCCGTGTATAGACAAAAATATGGAAACTTGGATCAAATTTTTGATATGAAATTGTTTTTAAACAATTTTTATGAAAAAAGCAATTGTCTTTTAGTTATTTTTTATACAAGACCATAAAATGGTATTTCATCGTCGTGTATAAAACCATATTTTTTCCATAGCGAGTTACGTTTTAAAAAATATTCAGAAATTATTTCAAGGAATTTATTAGGAGTAGAAAAAATATTGTGCTGGGTTGGCGTTGGTTTTTATGTAATTTGACAAATAAATAAAGCTGTCTCTTTAGTTGTCAGTTTTGAGTCAATATTTTTTAATTCTCTTTCGTGTCGATTGCTGATTGAATTGGAGCCGAGAGAAATAGCTCAAAACGAAATAAGTAAATTACTAACAGATATTCAGGCTGAGGCGACAAACGCCATATCCAAACTACTTCTATTTAAATTCCCAATAACTTATGAAAAGGAATACAAAAATTTTCAAAAATGGAGGCAATTAAAAGAGGCAAGAAATAAAGTTTTAGTATTGAAAATACTTCTGGCCGCGTTTATATGGGACCCATCTTTGAAAAAACGACATGCTCGATGCCACACGATTTCAATAACCTGCCTAATCAACTTGTCAACACGTAAGTCGATAGTTTAGCCGGCGTTGATCATCGAAGGACGTTTGAGGGCCGAAATGAGGTCTTATTAATTTATCAGTCTGTGTGTGTGTGTGTGAGCCAACTATTTTATGGATATGGATGTTTGTCTGGGTCGGCGGATAAAGAAAGACCATATTATTATAAAAAATATAAAAAAGAATATGCGTCAAGGCATATGGGTTGTTAGGTACAGTTTGGCTATTTTAATCTAACTCTTCCCCTCCCCCGTACCTATTATACAAAAATTATACATTTCCGGACACATGTTTATATGAACTTTTTGCCTTAAAACACTCAAAGAATCACCTCCTGAAGTTTGGCCAGATACTTAATTAACACCCTGTATTTAAAAATGGCTAGCTAGTGATCTAGTAAGCTATGTTTATTTTAATGGGCAAAAAATACAGCTCATAAAAAAATAAGCAAACTCGTAATATAAATACTATACACGAATTAATTCATTTTAAATGTATCTAAATAGGCACTTTAATAATTGAAAAATGGTCAGGAGCACTTAAAATCACTTCATAGAATATACCAAATATGCAAAAAAAATCCAATAAAAAAACCACAAATTGCACATTAAAATCTGCATTATCTGAAATCAAACTATACCTAAACGGCTAATAAAATAATACTGACAAGACTAAATAAAAGTGACAAGACGCCGACATCGATAACGCGATGAGCAGTTTTAAATAATTATTATATTATTCCGAGTTATTATTACATACGTGTTTTACAATTATTGTAATACAGTAGCATTCCTTCAAATCAATTTTAATTTAAGTATTGTTAATATAGTCATATTAATTATTATACCCCGTATGATTTCTAAAATAAAAAAATCAAGGCGTGTTTTTATCAGAATTATTAAATGATTAAAAATAAGTAGAAATAGTTAATATTTATTAACTTCGTAAGTGTTATATTTTAATATAATTAAGGACTATCTTAAGTTTAAATTATGGTAAACTTGTATGAGTTTCAATCATTTATATTTAAAATGTTAGGAAAGACAATTAGATTTTAGGCAAGAGAACTCAAGGGAAGGACTGTGTAACTAGTAATTAAAACTTAACAATTTTTTTTACTTGATATTTTTCTGGTCGTTCATGTTGCACTTTAACTTTTCGTTGTGTTACACACAATCTAAATTTCGGATATGATGCAGAACTGATAAATTGGATTAAATATATTAATTGCAAGGTATGCAAAGAAATATTTTTGTTAACTTTGCAAATACTTAAGGCATGCGATAATTTTAAAAAAATTTGACGTGAGATTACTTCATAATTCTTGGAAGTCTAGAATGTCCGTTTTGTTTAAGAAGCTAACAAATAATTTCAAAAAATCAACTATCAAAATATATTGGTGGCAAATTTTTAAAAGTATGCATAGTTATAATGTTCTATATTAATTGGACATACTGAATGTAAACTAGGTATAGTTGTTGCAATCGATAATATATTTTGCTGTTTATTTTCAGCACAACAAAATCCGTTATGATGAAACGAAAAAAAAAAATACCGCTACTCATATTATGGGCACCTATGTATTTTTAATTTCATAATGATATTTAAAAATATATAGGTATACTATGAGTAGTGGTTGTGACGGTTTTTTATTAGGTATGATGAAAAGAAGCTGCAAACTAAATTATCGTTGGAGCCAACTATATTTTAATTTATTTTTATCTACAGTAACTATGCACGGTAGGGGTTCAAAATATGCCTATACTGTGAGGCAACTCCATTCGAGTATAAATTAACATTTACATTCCAAGTATCTTCTTGGTCTACCGGCACCCCGTTCACCCTTATTCCCTCATTTCTATAAAAAAATATTATGATTTATAACTTTTAATTTTTATTGTGAAAATTGGTGAAAAGTATTTTTTTTGTACGGTGAATACAAATTTATGGGCCATCCATAATAAAAAATATAGACCTAATCTAAACTTAAGTTAAACTGACTCCCTTTTTGCATATTTTGGGCTCCTACGTGGGTATAGGAGCCCGTCATAGTGTCGTGACTGTGATCGTGACCAATCACGAATCCGCACACGTTCATATCCATCATTAATATTTTCCAACTAAATTCTTCACTTTTACAAAAACCATCACGATAAAAATCAAATATCAAAATTATTTAACGTTGCGAACGTTAAACTTGTTCACTATACGTATCTGGAATATATTTGTGAATAGCGATCAATGATACGTTTACGTTAGACTGGCGGAGTGCTGACGTCACGAATGTCAAATTGCTTTCCAACGAACAAGGTTTAGTTCTTTTATATTTCTATTCAGCTCTTCCAAATGACACCACAAGTTAATATAAAATGTAAAAAACAGGTGATTGTCGACAACTGCCGACTTGTGTCTGGTACAAGGGCGTAGATAAGGGGGGGGGTACTGGGGGACAGTACCCCCCCCTGACGCTTGACGAGATACGAGAATTGAAATAGTCATTGACTATGAAAGGATTTTTTTTAATTAATATCCGACATATAAGAACACTTTGTATGCTTTTAATTATGTTGATTTATCGTTTATAATATGTTCGACCTAATTAAAAGCACACAAAGTGTTCTTATTGGCCAGGACAGATTAGTGGGGTTAACTCTAATCAATATCCATAAAGATATTGAAATAAAGGTTGATGCTGTTATTGATAGGTTTTCCAAACAGCGTACTAGAAAACTTGATTTTGTTTTGTAGTTTTATTTATAGTTTATAGTTTTTATAGTTTTTTTTTGATAGTTTAGAGTTTTTTATTTATAGTTTATAGAAAATTAACTAATAAACGTCGTTGTTTCATTTTTGTTTATGTTATTTACAAATCTATATTTTAATTTTTGTGTTATGTTTTTATATCTTTTTGAAGACAAAAAAATCGCCGTCGTTTTAATTCGACAAAAAAATTCCGACGGTGATTTTTTTTGCGACTTAATCATAGTACCACCCCCATAGCATACACCTATCTACGCTCCTGGTCTGGTATTTTCAATACGCCTATGATGGTTGCGCATGTTGCAAAATCTGTGAATTTTTAACCTATCCTCGGTGTTAAAGTATCATCTAATCGACACCTGTGGTTAAAGTACTATTTTATCTACTATTTTTGATAGATATAAGGCAATGATGAATTTTTTTATTGATGTAGTAATGGTGAAAATAATGATAAATCAAACTATCCTTTCAGAACCCATAGAATCATACCTTTCAGATGGCTAATAATCCGATTCACTTGGTGCAAATGGTTCAAACTTTGTTTCATTGTCATCCATTTTATCCAAAAAAATTAGCTCTAAACTTTAGCACGTGTGTTAAAATGGCAAACAACAGCGTTAAATTTTATGGACTTCATCCAGTTCACTTCTGAAGGGAATCAACAGAACATTCAAAAACCAAACAGAAACGGGCTATATAATATGCGTGAAGTCTGACTTGATTTATTTCTCTGCTGGAAAAACAATATTTTATAAAATAGTAGAAAATTGAACTTCATCCATTTTAATTCTGACCACTCCATATACGTATGTTATATAATTTTATAATTATTTGACGAAAATGGTGAAAAAAAAAATAAGGGCCCATGTAGGATTCGAACCTACGACCTCTGGTTTTGCGAATAGTTCAGCGCTCTAACCAACTGAGCTAACGGGCCATTAAGTATATTTATTTCATACGAGTATATTTATCGATATGATGAATCATTCGAATTTAATATTTACTGCTATGGATTTACGATATTTTCTTGATAAATTGATGAAGGCGTTTTTATTTTGTTCAAAAAATAAAAAAGAGTATTTGACCATTAAAAAAAGGTACATGAAACAGATTTTAAAAATTACGTCGATCATTGATAAAAGATAAAATGAATAAATCAATGATTAAACATTTTTTTTGTTTTTGTTTTATTTTGTGAAAGCTTACTGTGATCAGGATATGACATAGGGTGTTATTATTTAATTCGCCAAATTAATAGGAAGTGAAAATGTATGGCAAAATTTATACAGGAGTCATAGTTTTTTTGATCGAATTTACTTAGGTATACTCTGTTTTTTTTTCTCAGGTAAGATTTCGACAGACGATGACAGAAAATATCTAGCTAAGTTAACTATGAATGGGTTTATAAATAAATCCGTCACGAATCGTCTCTTGTTGTTTTTAACCAGTTTTATTGGTCTATTTTGAAAATGACAGATCATCTTTCAATATTATTGATTTGATGGAACGATGAACGACAAACGGACGTCGATGCGTATGAACTCGGCTTAAGATTTTTGAGAGTTGTCAAACTCTTGCCAAATTATAGGTTATAATTGGTTATAATATTATGTCAAATAGAATTGATAAATATTTTGCATTTTGCATTTTGGACTGTATTATTACGTGTGTTTTATCTTTTTTAAAATTAAGTGGGGGAAGTCTCGAGGGAAAATTAAGTGTTGACCCAGACAATAGTTTACAGTTAATATTCGGTGTCCAGAGACACAGTTTGCCAGAGACAGAACCAGAGAGATGTATTAGCCACAAACCATGTTTGTACACCATCTCGTATAGTATGGTACCAAAAACTGGAGTATCTGTAAGGTAACATCACATGATAGGTAAATAGGTACCTACTAGTTTAAAAAAATTAAGATTAAAGTTAATTACCAACTTTTAAGGTATAAAATTCAGTGAGTATTATTATCAAAAAAATATTTTGTTTTATTTATGTTGTTTTATTTATTCTTTCTAATATAACAGCTAGCAACGTTTTCGAGAAAGTATTTTAAGACGTCTGCCTCTTTGATATATCTTTTACTACGCTCTCTGGAACGGCATGCGGCCCGTCTGGCTGCCGATACCTGTACTACTGCACATCGAAAGAAGATCCGATATTTTTTATTAATTTAGTCCTATAAATTCTAGTATTGAATATAAATCGAACATGTCTCCATAGCGCACTGCGTAGAGTTTCCGCACTAATAAACACATACACATGCACAAAATAAAATAAAAAAAGTCTTTGACTTGACCCGGATTCGAACTCTGAATCATAGGTTCGTGGTCGGAAATTCTACGCATTGCGCTATGGAGACATGTTCGATTTATATTCAATCATAGACTTAAAATAAAATATAGACTGAGCATCTCATTCATAAATAGCTGGAACATGCGGTCAGACAATGTCTTGTTATTGTTGTGTTATTGTTTTAGGTTATAACGAGTGCGACACGAGCGATAGATAGGTTGTCTCTGTCGTAACGGTCGTTCCCTGACGACTCTGCCGAGAAACACAACACTGTCTTTCGTTTCTCAAGTACACTTGAACTCTCCGTATCATAGCCGGGTAATTTTTTTATTTTAATGAAACTATAATTAAATTAAAAATATATCGTATTTAAACTTTTTTATATTTTATTAAGATTTAGGACAGGTTTTTTAAATAAAAGTTTTTAAAAAACGTCTTAGAGTCCAAAAGGATAAAAATAATAAAATACACGTTATAGAAGAAATTTTATAATCGAAATTACGTAATTTTTGAAATTAATAATAAATTATTAATTTTAGTCAAACATTTATAACCCCTAATATTAATCAAAACAGGATCTATTCCACAGATATAATAGAATCGGCGACAGGGAGAGAAAAAAAATATGATTGTTGTAATTTTTTTTCTGGTTAAGTGATGTTTTATGTAAATTAAAGAAAACATAAATCTGTTCCATTAAAGCAAGGAAGGTGATAGGAAGTGGATAAAATGAAAACTACATTTATTTAACTCGGTACTGTCTTTATACCGGGTGCGTCCCAAAAGTGACTCATCCCCATATTTTTTTTACATTTTCAAATAAAAAAACAAGATTTAGTATGTTAGTATATGACATAAATTAGGATTGATTGACGCATTCAATTGTTTTTGTAAGTTTTGTTGTTATTCAAATATTGTTTCATAATGTAATATCATTTTAAAATTCTTGTATGTTATTTTAGATTCTGAAGATAATTTTAGAATAAACCGGAATATATTTTTAATAAAAACATTATTAATTATTAACAGGGTTATAATTATGATTTTGTTACAATGTAAGTAAGTAATTAATGTAATGTAAGAGAAAAAATTCAGATTTTACATTTTACTAAAATATTATCTAAATAAGCGCCTTTCTACAACAACGCCACTGATTCCTAATGGGTAAATTGAGAGTTGCCTACCGGTCAAAAGTCGTTTCAAGACTTAAATGGATTATTTAAGTCAAATTTCTTCTGCAAATTTGGCACTGGCGAACCATATTTTATAGTTCTTGAACAGAAAAAGTCAATAAAATAAACACTTAAGGACTACAAGCTAAGAAAATGCGTTAATACAGCCGGGGAGATAGCGGCAACAAAGCTTTACCGCACACGTCCGACACGTACTACAAGGTAATAAATGAATGAATAGGCTCCCTCGCCTCTAATCGGTGTTGTCATATTGTAAAGAAGTTATCCTTTTTAAACAGTATCCGACTTATAATTTAGTAGTATAAGGACTATTTAATACATCTATGGAATATTAAAACCTACTTTATTAAACTGTAGTATTAATATCTCAATATATGTGTATAACAAGAAAAAAATATTGATAATATTAAAGACGTGACAACATAGGCTGGATGAGGAAGGCTCGGTCGACTGTACCCAGAAGTAAACATGTGTACAAAAAAGAATGTTTGTCCGCGTTAAGATGTAAATAGTGTAGTCTATATTTTATTTTAAGTCTATGTATTCAATACTAGAATTTAAAGGACTATTAAAAATATAGGATCTTCTTTCAATGCGCAGTAGAGAACGCAACGTTTACCGGCAGCCAGACTATGCTCTCTAGAAGCATACTGTTCTAGAGAGCATAGTAAAAGATATATCAAAGAGCCAGACGTCTTAAAATACTTGTTTTTCCGACGTTGCTAGCCCTCGTACTATTTGCAATGTTAAAAAAATACTTGTACATACAGTACGTCTGTCCGTTCTGTAGCTACTCGATGTTTTTCATAAAAAAATGAGACGACGCGTCCCATCAATAAAAATTCGACAAATTTGCAAATAGCCAATAAAATGAGTGGGCGGAGCGATTTGCGGTGACGTACTCGTCAAGTCGACGTATAAAATATATTGCTATTTATTTAAATGTTTTTTGTTCGCATTCCTTTCATAGACACAGATCCAGCAAACGGACTGTAAGTTATATTGATAAATGTAATAATAAATGCAGGAAGTTGCTTGAGCTTGAAAGTAAGAAATAGATTTTTTGTATGTGGTGTTTTGTTTAAAATACACCCTCGTTTGTTTTGTATTAACACATACCGTATTTTTTTTAATAAAATAACTCGATTATATTTTTTTCAGTTTTATACTGTTTTTTTTTTCACAATATTTTGAAGTAATCACTTGTCACTCAAATTTTAAATATATTAATTTTCTGATATGCGTTCCAATTGTACCAACTTATTTCTTTGTAAAATAATTATTAAAATTGTTGTCACGTCAAGAAAATTATTTCTGACGTTTGAAAAAAAAAATAGCATGTTCTATTCGGAGTAAAAATGACTTGTGTGCCTTGCCTATAATGTCAAAAGTACAGCCTCACCACAAAAAGTATCATTTTCGCTACTGATAAAACAATATTCTATTATGCGGCGAAGTTAATTAGTATTTTTTTATAACGTTAAATTAAATCTGTTATATTTCTTTTTGTTAAAAATCTAGAAACCCGTCATCATTCTCTTAGAACGATGCAACCTCGGATGCAACAATGATCTGTTAAAATGAGAGTAATAAAAAAACCAAACCACACATAAGGTTGCTAGGCGCTGACATGCAATTTAAAGTTTGCCTGTCTAAAACGGAAAAAGTTTTCGGCCCCATGTAGGATTCGAACCTACGACCTCTGGCTAAACACTTATGCCCACTTGCACCGTTTTTATTATCTTTGTTTAAAAGCTAAACAGTGATTAACTATATAATATTTTATTATAGTTAATCACTGTTTAGCCTTTAAACAAAGTTTATACAAACGGTGCAAGTGGGCATTAGTTGAACACAGCGCTCTAACCAATTACTGAGCTAACGGGCCTGGGCAAACATTTGTAATATATTTAAGTTATATAGCCACGCATTTTTATTGATATGATTTGTTATCTTCATATTATAGGGAAAGTAAAGCATTCAAGTGATAAAAGCCAAGGCGTCTGGTTACATTATCAAAATTTACAATCACACGATAATAATAAAAAATATTTAATATTATTTAACATAAAATGATTCGACATATTCAGACACCTTCATCGTTTTGTCAAGAAAATAGAATAAATTTTTTTGAAGTAGATCTACGACGTAGATAAATAATAATAATCGATGATTCATCGCATCGCGTAAAATACGTACTTGAACACAACAACATATATATCACTGGCCCGTTAGCTCAGTTGGTTAGAGCGCTGCACTTTTATTGAAAATCTCAGAGGTCGTAGGTTCGAGTCCTACATGGGCCCTTATTTTTTTTAAATTTTAGAATGTACATAACTTCTTACATTAGTTACATACTTAGTATATTATATATTTTTATTTTAGAGTGTTTGTAAACAAAACATATGAAAACTAACCCTATGAAGAGTTTTCCATCAACATTAGCGATAAATAAATTATGCAATGTTAGGTAATTAGATGGAATGGTTAATCAAAATTCATTAGAAGTAATTATTTTGTATGGCATTATCATCAGTACCGTAAAATGGGGTGAATAGAAACAGTTTCGTAGGCTATTAGCGATATACCGGTTGATAAAAATGTGGTATTATTTTCCCGAATATTTTAAAACATGGGTCTTTGTTTGTTCTTTGCGTATACATATAATTTGATTTTTTGGGGTGCAAGGGGTATTGAAGCGATACATATAGCCTAGCTTACCCAAAAGTCAACCTCACCTTCACGTGGTGCACCCTGTTTACACAAACGAGGCTCTGACGTCCGAGTATAGGCGGTATAACCTTATACAACCCTCAGACCTACCATCTTCTGGGGAAAAGGAGTAATAAAATACACCTAGCCGGCCGAGAACGTAGCACAAGGGAACTATCGTCGCAGTCCTCACTGTGCCATAGCCATCCCGTGCTACAGTTGCAGCCAAAACTGTGCGGCAGCGTAACCGCCACAGTTAAACCTTTTCACGCAGCTTACACACAGCAATGATGGAACATTCGAGTAGGACAAAATTATCGTCCGGAGGTAAAATACCCCCTCAATCGGATCTCCGGGAGGGGGTGCCTACTCGAGCGTATCATCGGAGAAACAAAAAACATCAATGTTTCACGTTCGCGGCGTGGAACGTCCGCACTCTACTGGACAAGATAAATTCAAATCGACCAGAGAGAAGAACAGCACTGGTCTCACAGGAACTCCACCGATTAAATATAGATGTTGCCGCTCTAAGCGAAACACGCTTTGCAGATAAGGTAGTCTCACTGAGGAGCATTACACCTTCTTTTGGAAAGGTCACCCCGCAACACACAGGAGAATTCATGGTGTAGGCATTGCGATCAAAAACGAAATCGCCACCAAGTTAACAGAAGTACCTATTGGTGTCTCCGAACGTCTTATGACCCTAAGGTACCCCATATCAGACAAAACTTACGTCAACAACATTAGTGCCTACGCTCCCACCCTTGACGCTAAAATTGAAGATAAGGATAAATTTTACCAAGCATTACAAAATGCCTTTCAACGAATTCCAAAGCACGAACGAATCATCTTGCTAGGTGACTTTAATGCCCGTGTAGGCAAACAACAGGAAATATGGCCTGACGTATTGGGAAAACAATGGAAAACGCAAATAGCAATGGTGAACGCTTATTAACAACATGCGCAGAGTATAATCTTTGCATCACCAATACGTGGTTCATGTTGATGAACAAGTTTAAAGATACCTGGAAACATCCTAGATCAGGCCACTGGCATCAATTGGACCACATAATCGTTCGAAGGATGCATCTAAAAGATGTTAGGCTCACAAAAGCTAGAATAGATGCCGAATGCGGCACTGACCACCGACTTTTAATTTCAAAAATGAAAATCCAGTTAAAACCCAAACATCCACGCTGTAAAAAGCAAAACAACATGACCAGATTGAACGTACGGGATCTAGAGAACAAGAATACCGCCGACGCCCTCCGGGAAGCCATCAAAGAATCACTTCCACCGATAACTTCAATCTCAATATTGGAAGCTGAACAAGACTGGACACAATTAAGGGATGCGATTCATAAAACCAGCGAAGCAGTACTGGGAAAGTCGAACAAAAAGAAACAACCAGACTGGTTTGACGAAAATCAACAGCATATACAGGCTTTTTTGGAACAAAAGCATAGAGCACATCAAGCCGTCACTGCAAATCCACTTAATCCAAGACTGGTAGATAACTTTAAAGCAGCCAACAACACCCTTCGAAGAGAACTGCGCCAAGTAAAGGATAACTGGTGGTCACAAAAAGCGAATCAGATTCAAGAGTACGCCACTCATCACGATTATCGTAAATTCTTCGAGGCTGTAAAAGAAGTATACGGTCCAACTAAGAAGGTAAGCTGCCCAATCATGGCTCAAAATGGCGAACTTCTAAAAGAGGAAGAACAAATCAGAAATCACTGGAAAGAACATTACAGCCATATCCTTAACCAAGAAAACAACCCCAATATGGAAGCACTAAACACAATACCTCAGTATAACAGCCTCGATGTATTAGACATCCCAATAACAGAACAAGAAATAAAGACCTCCATAAAACAGCAACAAATCAGCTGGCTGTGACGCGATTCCGGCGGAAATCTATAAGTGTGCAAGTAAAGAAATTATGGATCATCTTAAGGCTCTCTTTGATGTCGTATGGGAAAGCGGAGAGGTACCTCACGATTTTCGCAACGCGAATATAGTGAATATATTTAAGAACAAAGGAAGTGCATCAGACTGCGGTAATTACCGGGGAATTTTGCTATTAGCTATCGGCGGAAAAATTCTTGCAAAAATAATGTCAAACCGCCTGCACCCATATATAGAAAAAAAATCCTCCCAGGATCGCAAACGGGTTTTCGTACCAACCGCGGCACCGTCGATTCCATATTTTCCATCCGTCAACTACAGGAAAAAGTAAAAAAGCAGCAGTCTAAACTTTATGTTGCATTCATCGATCTAACAAAAGCCTTCGACTCTGTGAACAGAGATGCGCTTTGGGCAATTATGGAAAAGTTCGGGAGTACCCAACAAATTTCTTACAGTGTGTAAAAGCCTCCATAACAACAACAAGTCAAGAGTGTCACATCATGGATCACTGAGCGACCCATTCTAACAAATACAGGAGTTAGGCAGGGATGTGTCTTAGCGCCTCTCCTATTCAACATATTCATGGCAGCGCTCTCCATTATAGTGGACAGCAAACTGCAGGAGAGAGGATTGGGCATTAGATACAGATATGACGGGGTCTGTTCAACATAAAAAGACTCAGGGCAAAAACACGTACAAAATTTATCACAGAACTTCAATACGCTGACGACTGCGCTCTAGTTGCAAACACGGTACAACAATTACAAGAAATGTTGAACACATATACCTGGGCATACGAGGCTTTGGGCCTTAAGCTGAACATCGGCAAAACTAAAATCATGTGCACTCCCCCGGAAGATCACAACAATGCTATAAAAATCGGAGAAGAACTATTCGAATATGTGGCGGAATTCAATTACCTTGGCAGTTTGATTTCGGAAAAGGCCAATATTGACTCTGAAATTCAGCACAGGATTAGTAGCGCCTCAAGAGCATTCTGGAAATTAAAAGACAGGGTTTTCTACAATCATGACTTGAGTACAAAAACAAAACTTGCAGTATACCGAGCAATTATAATCCCCACCATGATATATGGGAGCGAAACCTGGGTGCCTTACCGCCGACACATGAACGCATTGAACAAGTTGCAACAGAGACACCTTAGACAACTCTTAAGAGTCCGGTGGTTCCATCATGTCTCAAACGTATCGGTCCTTGAAAAATCTAACTGCGAGAGTATTGAAGTCATGGTCACAAAATCCCGCTTAAGATGGGCTGGTCACGTATGCAGAATGCAAGAAAACCGCATACCAAAATCTCTGCTTTACGGTGAGCTTGTGGACGGTAAGAGGAGGCCGGGTGGACAACTGAAAAGATACAAGGACATTTTCCACGAAAATTTAAAGGGAATTAACATGCAGAATGAGTGGGAAAAAGCAGCTCACAATAGAACTCAATGGAGAAGGGTTGTAAACTCAGTTAACAGCGGCAACCAAAAAGTAGAGAGGCAACAAAGCAATGAGATTTTTGAATGTCCGGAGTGCGGTAGGCAGATAACATCACGTATCGGGCTTTCCAGTCACAGAAAAGCTCATGAAAGAAAACGCCTTGCGTGACCATTTTCTTTATGTGTGTCGAATACTCGTCAGCGAGTAACGGCTGTATATGTATATATGTATATGTATATATATAATTTGATTTTTGAAAAATATGCATATAAATATTAAATAAAAATAACACTTGTGTTTCTATTCACCTGCTATTCGGGAGAATAGAAACACACATTGATGTTAAGGTTTTTATCTATTCTATTTCCAACAAGGTGATTAGAAACAGTAAATTATTACATATTTAAGTAGGTTTAACAATAATTAACAGTACATATAATATAACAACTTACATGTACTAGCTTATGTATTAGTTTAAAAATAAATATTTTATTTATAAAGTTTTCGCGCCATACAAAATGGGTGATAAATCGATCTCACATTTATTGATCAGCTGATTGACAGAAACAGTGCTGCCACAGATAAAAATATAGTTTTTACATTTTATTGTGTATTACCAATGATAGAAAAATTAGATATGTCGACTTTTTTTACTTTGAATATTTTTAATCGTGATTTGATTTTTTTCGGAAATTTTGTTTCTATTCACCACTATGTTTCTATTCACCCCATTTTACGGTATTATTTTCAGCTTATTCAACCATTTGTTGGGTGTCCTGCCCATTGCCCCTTGGGAGATTTGATTCTGTGGATGACATCTATTACTTCGATCTTTTGTCGTGTGCACTCTATTCTTTTACGGTCTTTCTTGGTTATTCCCAGCATAATTTAATTTAGTTTAACGATATATTACTTTTACTATAATAATACTTTAATTTTTGTTTAAAAAACGGGTCATTTTATGTTCTTACCAAGATATAATTTTTGTATAATAGGTAAATGTTACATATATATAATTTGAAGTGTTGATGTATGTACTACCATTTTTATGAATTTGACATGCAATGGAATTTTAATATATTTATGCATAATATATTTATGTAGCTTTATGTAGAAAAATGTATAACTGCATAGAAACACTCTATTAATTCACAGGCAGATATTAATATATACCCTGTATAGTATATAAACATTGGTATTAGATATAATGCGATTTCAGTGTACGTAAGACTTTT